TTTTGAGATAGGGTTTCTTTCTCTTTGTAGCCCTGGCTCTCCTGGAACTCAGAGATCTCACTGCTTCTGCTTCCCAAGTTCTGGGATGAAAGGCGTGCACTACCACGTCCAGCTAGGATCCTGTTTTCTGTTTTCGTATTTTCTTTTTTGTAATGTTTTTTCCTCAAGCTCCTGGGACTTGAAAGAGCATGTTAACATTAGTTTTCTGGCTGACTGTATACAAATGTTTCCAAAGGAAACCACTTTTTATGGGCAGCTATATTTACAAGACTTTATTTACTTACTTGTTTTCCAGGCAGGCCTCTCAGTATTTGCTGTAGGAAAAGCAATTTTTCAACAAAACTGTTTCTTATGACTTTAGCATCATTTTAAGGGGGAAGAGAAAGTCCTGTTATGATTGCTTTATATGTTTCTGCTTTTGTTATTTTAATGTTAATGTCAAATGATATCTTCTGTCTTATTGGAAACTCTAACTCTTTCAAAAAATTAATAGTTTAAAATAGGTTGAAAGAATGAGATCTTTGTGTCTGCCTTGAACAAGTGTGATGTTCTTTATATAAGGGATACCAAAAAAAACTGAAACCCAAGGCTGGGAGACCAACAAGGCTGGATTCACACTCCAACTGACTCCCCTAGTCATTAACAGTGTGTGCCACCAAGAGTTTATTAAGTCTCAGCTGCAAGCTGGATGTCACAAGCATACTTGCTGGATCAATGACGTTAGATAATCCACGCAAAGCCCACGGGGCAGTGTCTGACTCAAAGCCAGCCTGCTGCTTCCCTTAACACTCTAAGCCATGTAGAATAGTCTTCCTCCGTTTAACATCGTGCTTGGGAGTCTCATTTTGTCATGGGTTAAGCAATAGATGCATGGTCACCATGCTTAGTTAAGAACGACGTCAGAGGGCTGGAGAAATGGCTCAGAGGTTAGGAGCATTGGCTGCTCTTCCAGAGGTCCTGAGTTCAATCCCCAGCAACCACATGGTGGCTCACAACCATCTGTAATGAGATCTGGTGCCCTCTTCTGACCTAGGCATACATGTGGACAGAACACTGTATACATAATAAATAAATCTTAAAAAAATAAAAGAACTACGTCAGAAGCTAGGCGTGGTAGCACAGATCTACGATCCTGGCATTTGGGAGAGAAATCAGGAATTCAAGCTGGCCTAGTCTCGTTAGAAAGTTCGAGATCAACCTGGGTCACTTGATGCCATGATTCAAACTACCCACTACCACAACAACCAAAACAAATAAACAAATAAAATGGCTTATGGGAAACTGGCGTGGTTGGTGTGTACCTATAATATTGCAGCATACAGGATGAACCAGGAAGATGCAGATTTCAAAGCCATTTTCAGCTATATAGCAAAATTTAAGTCTAATCTATAAGACCACTTTTCTCACTCACACTCTTCCCATTCCAGGTAAAAGAAAAAAAAAATTAGAAAATGAAGAGAAGCTTAAATCTTTCAGTCTTTTGAAATCTGAATGTCCTTGGAAAGGTGTTTTTGTTCCATAGCACTTTTGAGTTGGCCAGGGGACAGCTGCGCAGGCAGCAGGGCCCTGAGATCCATAAACATTGGTGGAGTGTGGGTGGGTCCTTTTTTGGCAGCCCCACTCTCTCCCGTCTTCATCCCGCCCTCCTCCACCTTAAGGACCTTTGCCCAGGAGCATGCCAAGCAGAAAGCACTGTCACTTTTATGTCCCCTTTGCAGCTCTAAACATGTTCAAGTCTCATCATTGCTTTGTTC